GCTATACCTGGAGATGGCCATACCCTTGATCTGACCATCATCACTCATTAACTGTTTCACCTCCATGACTGAAATTCCTTTCTGTGGCCCCAGTTGCCTCTCCTTCAATACCTCCTACTCCCTCACACCTCCAGTACCAATCACTTGTCCTCACCAAGACCTCCAGCCCTTCTCTCCACCCGTTTCTGTTCTCAGCAGTAAAATGAGCCAATTGGACTAGGTAACCTCTGACATTCTGCCACTTTTAGATCTGTGACCCCATTATGTTTCCATTTTGTTTTCCACCAAGGATGGTGCTCAGAGCTCAATTCAATTCGACAAATAGTTAGCATCCACTGTATGCTAGGCACTATGCTAGGGTAGGTGCTGAGGATATGAAGACAAAAATGAAACAGTCCCTGCCCTCAAGAAGCTTACTTTCTATTTGATGAATAGAATTGAGATCCAAGATAAAGCTAGGGTAAGAAAGCACCAAGTTCCTTTGAATGAGTCAATCCATAAACATTTATTAAGCATCTATTATGTGCCAGGCACTGTGTGCTAAGCACCAGGGATACAAAAAGAATCGAATTACTAAATAAAACTGTATGCCAAGATAGTGAAAGAGCTTGAAAAGGTACTTACAACAAGATTCTTGAAACAATTTAGAAGTGGGAAAAGTACCACAGGATACATGTCTGTGCAAAATGTCAGGTCTACAGTTTTGTAATTTTGAAAAACAGTATTACAGTGGAGTTAAAAAAAAATAACAACACATTACAAGATGGAGGGGGAATGCTTACACAAAAGCACGTCTAAAAAAGATCTGGACTACATGCTTGATATAAGTCATCAGTCTGACACGGCAGCTGATACAGTCTTGGCCTAAGCTGAGAAGTCCTTATAAAAATAAGGACATGCCAGGTGGCAGAGTGGAAGGAGATCTGGTGCTGGAGTCAAGAAACCCTGAGTTCAAATCTGGTCTCAGATACTTACTTAGATGCGTGACTCTGGGCAAGCCACTTAGCCCCTCTCTGCCTCGGTTTCCTCATCTCCCTTATGATGTCATTGGTCTTCAAAAACGAATGACAAACAGCAGCAGCAGCAGCAGCAGCAACAAACCAGGGATGGTAATAGCACCTGCCTCCCAGGGCTGTTGTCAGGATTGAACAAGATAACATTGGTAAAGCGCTTGGCACAGCACCTGGCACATAGTAGGAGCTTAATAAATGTGTATTATGGGGCAGCTAGGTGGCACAGTGGATAGAGCTCCAGCCTTGCAGTCAGGAGGACCTGAGTTCAAATCCGGTCTCAGACACATAACATTAGCTGTGTGACCCTGGGCAAGTCACTCAACCCTGATCGCCTCACCAAAAAGCAAAACTAAAATAAAATAAAAATAAAAAAATAAACGTGCAGTCCCTTCCCTTTGCTATTCTACCCTGGTCAGACGAGATCTGTGATGGTATCCCAGGCACCACGATTTAAGAAGGGCACAGATAAATTAGGGAACACCAAGAAGAGGGCAAGTAGGATGGTAAAAGACCCAGAGATCACGTCATATGTGGAATAGATGAAAGAACGGTGGGTGTTTAGCCGGAAGAAGTAAAGATTCAGTCAAGTGATGCTAGAGATACAGTAATATCTATCTTCCAGCATGTGAAGGGCTGTCACCTAAAAGAGGTATAAAACTGCTATTTCTTGAATTGAATTAAATTCCAAATAACCTAGACTAGAGATCATCCTCTTTGGCTGAAAATAAAATGGAGAAGCATTATAGGGTCATAGATTTAGAACAGGTAGGGATGCCAGGGGCCATGGAGTCCAACCCACTCATTCCCCTGCCAAGTAAATCAGGGTGAAGAGAGGTTAAGCATCAATTTACCAATCCCAGGCTTTGGTTCTATCAATCCTCTCAATTATACAGGCTCAAAGCCTCAGACTTCGTTGATTTTTCCCCTGTCCACTACTCCATCCAAATAGTTCCCAGAAGGAAGAACTCAGAGTTTATTGCTGCAAAGAGATAAGTTTAGGTTGATGTCAGAAAAAAAAATTCTTACAGAAATATCCAAAAGTAGAATTATCTGCCTCTAGAGGTACAGGGTTTTTCCCCTCTCCAGAACTGGTCGAGTGAAGACTGGACATTCTCTTTCCAGATGTGTTGGAATGAATCCATTTTTCAGGTGGGGTAAACAAAGGTTAAACAGCTTGCCATAGCTAGTAAGTGTCTGAGGCTTGATTTGAACTCAAGTCTTCCTAACTTCAGGTCAGTATTTTATCTGTTGTGCTATATCATCTACAATAACCTTTATGCTGAATGTCAATTTCTGAGACGTCTCCAGAGAGACCCCAGGCACCTCCTAAGGTCAAAAAGAGTGAGTCAAAGCTCATGCAGTCAGGGGTGGGATCAGGTCCATTTTTTCACTTCCAGCCTGGGCAGGATAGGGAGGAGGAGGAGGAGGAGGAGGAGAGGAAAGGAAAAAGAGAGGGAGGAGGAAGAAGAGGAGGAGGAGGAGGTCTCAAAGTCTTCCTTCTCTTAGGTTTCCCCCGACATCCTTTACACCATTCCTCATTTGACTTAGTCAAGGAGCAGGTAGTGACTTCCATCCCTTTCCCCTAAAGACTGAAAACTGAGGCACGCACGGGTCGTTCAGGTATGGGATCCAACAAGTAAGCAGAATCAATGAGTTCCAGCAGAAGTAGGCAGTGAGGCTCATAGGATCCTAGAGAGTTGGATAGGACCTCAGACATCATCATTTTACAGAGGAGGAAATCGAGGCCCAGAGTAATTAAGGAACTTGTCCAAGGTCACACAGTGACAGCACTGGGATTCTACCTCAGGTTTTTTAAAGCCAAGTTTACCACCTCCCCAGGAGACCACTCTGCATTCTAGGTAAGAGAGCAAGGAGTAAGGGGCTCTGAGACATTCCACAGAAGCATGCCTCCTTTGAGGGATTTGTTAGGTAAAGGGGGGCATTCAGGTTTGAGATCAGGTCAGAGGTCAGATTCTCCAGGGGTGTGAAGAAGCACAAGCATGCCTTGGGGGTGTGGGGGCGGGGAGAGCGTGGGGGTGGGGAGAGGCAACTATCCAAATGGAGTAAGTTGCAGAACGTTTTCGGATCTGATGAGAGAGAGAGAGAATCCTTCTCCCGGAGGTCTCTACACTAATAACATCACAGGTTCAGTGCCTCTCCTATATCCAGGGTTATTTGTTGAGGTTATTCTTCCCTGTGGGGTGGGGGAGGCAGGAAATCGAAAGCCTGCCCCTCTTTACCTTTTCGTGATAAAAGTCCTGAAGAAGAACAGTGGGGGTGAAGGAGAGCCAGTCACAGTTGAATTCTGGTGGAGATGGTGGGAGAAGGACGACAAAATAAAAGGAGGGAGGATCTCTGGATGCAACAGGGCAGGAGTATTAGAAAGGAGGGAGAGAAGAGAGTTAATGGAAGGGAAACAAAGTGAGTGCGGAAGGTGGGAAGAAGGAATAAGGAACAGAAAGAAGGGTGTGTGGACCAAGGAGGGGGAAAGGCAGGAGAGGGCAGAAGAAAGGAGGATGTGTGGCCAGAGAAATCGTGGAGATTGTAGGTGGAGACAGGGGAGAAGCGTGCGTGGAGGACAGAAAGAGGGGGTGGAGAGAAAGAAGAAGGGAGCTGCTGAACAGAGAACAGGGTGTGTATGGAGACAGAAGGATGTGCGGACCTTGGTCAGAAGGCGCAGGGTGTAAACCGAGGCAAAGGGGAGAACGTGCTGAGAAGAGGGTGATGTGTCTGAGCAGGAGAGAAGTGGGCGTCAGGTGTAGACAGAGAGTGGTGGGTAGAGGACGAGGGGAAAGGGATGCAGACAGAGGAAGAGAGGATGGAGGAGCCCCGGCCAGGGGAAAGGTCAATGTCAGCTATTAACTGGAGGGCCGACCTAGGAGGGAAGGGGGACGTGGGGGAGGGAAGGGGGACGTGGGCGCGCGGAGTGCTGTTGCTGCCGCTTTGGGCTGGGGGCGGGGGAAGCCTCTGATTGGTAGCCTGGGTGGCATGACGCCACGTCCGGCAGGGGAAGCCCTGCCTCAGCTTCAGAAGAAAAAAAAAAAAAAAAGTCTCGCCTCCCTCGGCCCCCCAAGCCTGGTCGGTTCGCCCACCCCCAACCCTCCGCTCCCTTTTTGCAGGTGGTGCCGCCGCCCCAAGCCCAGAAGAAGCGCGCCAGGCTCGGGGCAGCAGAGAGCGGGCACTCCTCCCCGGGGGCTCTGCGCTGTCCCCTCCTCCGGCCGGACCCGCGCGGCTTCGTGGACCCCACCCCCACCCCCACGAACATGCAGTCCCCGGCTCTGGCCGCCGCCCCCTTCCCCAGGGCTTGTGATCTCCGCCCCGGAGTCAGACAGTCCCGCGCCGCCAGGGGCGACTCTCTGCTCTCCGTCCATCGGGCGCGGCCCTGCCCTGGGCGCCCCCTGAGACCCCGCCCTCTGCCCCCCACCCCCCACAGCATCCTCGCTAGCCCGGGGTCGCCTCTCCGGGCGGGAGGGGAAGAGCGCGGCGGACGGAGGCGGACACAGGGCGGCCCGGCCCATCCAAGGCCCCGCCCCGCCCCGCCTCTCCACCCCTCCCTTCCTCCTCCTCCTCCTCCTCCTCCCTCTCCCCTCCGCCCAGGGGGCCGGGCCGGGGGTGGGGCCGAAGGTGGGACCGAGCGCGAGCGCTTCGCGGCTGCCGCTGCTGAAGCTGCTCTCGCTGCCGCCGCCGCCGCCGCCGCCGCCGCGGACTGTGCCCGGCTGAATCTGCGCCGGTGGAACTCGCCCCGGGCTTTTGTTGTGCTCCTCCTCGTCCTCCTCCTCGTCCTCCTCCTCCTCGTCCTCCTCCTCCTCCTCCTGCCCCGCTGCCTCTGCCTCCGCGGCCGCCGCGTCCTCCGCCACCTCCTCCAGGCAGCGAGCCCGGCGCACCGGGACCTTGGCTCTGCCCTTCGCCCGCCGGACGGCGGCGGGGCGCAGCGGGGGACAGGCGGACCGGCGGACGGACAGCAGGGCGGCGGCCGGCCGGCCGGCCATGGATCTCCTCGTGCGAAGCTGCTGGCTCCTCTGGGTGGCCGCCGCCGCCGCCGCCGCCTCGGCCCGCGGGGAGCCGGGGGGCAGCAAGAGCAGGAGCTGCGCCGAGGTCCGCCAGGTCTACGGGGCCAAAGGCTTCAGCCTGAGCGGCGTGCCTCAGGCAGAGATCTCCGGTGAGTGGGGCCGTTGATTGCGGGCAGCCGCGGAGCCGGAGAGGGCGCCAGCTGCCCCCCCCCCACCCCGCCCCGGGCCAAACCGTCGGGCCGGGAGGGGGCACGGGGGTGGGGGTGGGGGGAGACGACGACGGGGACGGGAAATGGGCAGCCCCGAGGGAGGGGGGGAGAGCCCTGGGGCACGCTTGCGATCGGAGCCTCGGGGCAGGTGGGCAGGGGGCCGCCCGGCTTCTCCAGCCACCCCCGCCACCCCCCATCCCCATCCCCATCCCCATCCCCATCCCCATCCTCCTTCACTGCGGCCGCTTCGGAAAGTTCTCCTGGCTCATCTTAGCTCCCACCCGTGCAGGCTTAGGCTTGAAAGAGGGTGAAGAAAAGTGGCATTTGTGAGGGAGACTGAGGCCGGGCCAGTGAGCGGTCGGTCACCAGGGAGCGTGGTCGCTGGGCCTCCCTGTCCCCCTGCCCCAGCCCTAGTGGCCCCGGGACTGGCCTCGGGCCGGGGCCGTTCAGGCCACCCAGGGGATGGAGCTCTGGGAGGCGGGCAGCAACAGCGTGGAGAAAGGGGATCCCGGAGAAGAGAGTGGGGGGCGAGAGGGAGGCGAGGGTACCGCTGGAAGGGCTTTCTCCTGCCTTGGATTTGGGATGGAAACAGCGTGTTGTGAGTGATGGAGACCGAGTTGAGGAAGTGGACCCTCTGTTGGAGGAGGCGTCTGGCTTCTGTCCCAAGAGAGTAGAGATGGGAGGGGGGGGTTGGGGGAGGGGAAAGGGTTTAGATTTTTTTGTTGTTTTTTGTTTCGGGTTTTTTCCTTTTTCCTTTTCACAAAGCTAGAGATTTTAAACAGTAAAAAAGAGACTCGGTGAAATTCTGGTCTGTGTCTGCAGATGAGTTTTTATTGTGGATCAAAGAGCAGAAGGAAGTACCCCTTCCCATGCTGTGGGCAGCCAGGGGGTGGCTGTCCCAGGGAAGTCTTACTCCGAACCTCATGGCTCGCAGCTGAGAGCCATCTGCCCCAGTTCGTACATTCTGGGAGAGACGGAGTCAGGCAGAGCCACCCCCAGGGGCCAGCCCCGGCCAACTGCAGCCGGAGAAGCTCTTTGGGTTTCTCTCAACAACTGTCACGTCTTTATAAGGAGCCCGTCCCTCAGTCATCCACAGGCATCTGGCAGCCCGCCCCTGCCCTCTCCTGCTCATGCAGAAGACGAATCCCTAACCTGGGAACAAGAGTGCTGGCCTTCCAGGGAGACAGTTGGGGTTGAGGGGAGAACGATACCTGTTGAAGCCAAGACGTCTATATTCCCGTTGTTTGCAGAGGACTTGCTAAAACCAGGTTTCTCTAAGGGTGCAGGTGTCTCTCCTTGGTGGGTGGGGGAGGGGGGGGAGACTATTACAGGATTACCACCTGTGTGGTAGAAACAGCCTTAACAAGACTTGGCTTCCCTGGGCCTCGGTTTCTTCCTCAGTAAAACGAACTGGATGGCCTTTGAAGTCCCAGCTCTGACGTCTTTTGAATCTGTAAAAATAACCCTAGAGTGACAAAGAATCATAAGAATTCAGAGTTAGAAGTGAGGCTTTAGTCCAACCCTATCAAGCCTCCTCTATAAAATGAGAGGCTGGCCTGAGGTCCCTTCCAGTGAGGTCTAGGACCTTCTGGGGTGGGACAGGCTGCAGCAGTGCCCCTGCAAGCTTCCTTTTCTCCCTTTTCTTGAATCCAGCCCTGGGATACTGACAGGAGGGTGGAGTTGGACCCAACTATTGGCCTCCACCAGTTGGGGGCCTGGCTTGCAGTTTCAGGTATAGGGGCCGGTAAAGACCAGGGAGAAATTGGATTCCTTTGGAAGCTAATGTGCCACCCTGCAAGGTTGGAATGAGACTGAAAAGCTTATTAAGGCAATCTGACTGGTGTAAGCATCGCTAAGTCTTTATGAAGTACCTACTATGTGCCCGAGTGAGATGCTTATAAAGACAAAAATGAAACACTCTGCCCATAAGGAGATGCCGTCGCTGGGGTGTCGTGCTTTTAAAGGATATGCCTGTTTTAGTTATGCTTGTTGTTTCTTTTTTTCTGATGGAAGATCTTTGTTGAGAAGGTCTCTTTGTAAGTGGGTGATTGGCCTTTGAACTCCTTTATTCACTGGGCCTGGAGAATCCCCTCGGGATACTCCCTTCTGCTGAAAGCAGTGAGATTATGGGAGAGAAGATAAAAAAAATGGGAAGCTTCTGGCCAGTGAGGACTCAGTTTCACTGTGAGGCTTTATAGTCTGAAACCTTTTAATGATAGGTTCCAAGCTGGAATATCCGGGCTTTTCTTTGGCTCCTCTTCTGCTTGAGACACCAAGGGGTGGGGAATCACTTAAGGCGATCTCAGCCAAGACATGTGTATGTGATTTCACATTCTAAACCCAGGAAGCCCTATAATAGAACTCCGTCCCCGTCAGATTTTGAGTATGGACAGACTCTGTCCATGTGGCAAATGTCTGCCTATCAGGCATTTCTGCTTAATAAGGAAAGCTGATTGGAATAGCTCAGGGATGAGCTGTCTGTCCTCTCCTTGGCTCCAGAATCTGTCGGGGGAATTTAGTTCGGGTCTATTTAAAAGCTGAAATAAATTGGGTGGAGGTAATGTCAGGTGGCAGACTTTGAGACCTGCGTTCCCTGTGAGGCCGCCCCAGACCACTCCCACTCCATGGTCTTACCTTTTATGAAACTCAAAACACCAAATGTTTATCTGTCCCATGGCTTCTAAGTATGAACTAACCTTGTGACATTTTTATATTGTTACTTTACAGTACTTTTTTATGGACTGCTATTTATATGCATATATACACACATTTTCCCCACATATTTCTTGTTTCCCCGCCTAGATTAAATCCCTCTCCATCAGAGGAGGTTCGTAAAACCAAAGATTTAAAGTTGAAAGGGAGCTTAGACACCATCAACTCCAAACCCTCCCCCACCTTGTTTTAAATGAGGAAACCAAAGTAGACAGAGGTCAATGGACCAGCGTCTAGGCTCATACAGCTAGCAATCATCTGAGGTCTTCCTAACTTCAAGACCAGTCTCCTCCTCTCCACTACACCAAGACGATATTTTCTTCTTTTCTTAGACTTGAGTATCTTACAAAGAGTTGGCACCAGTGGAAAAAGCTCTGGTTCTGGAGTCAGAGAACCTGGATTCAGATCCCAGTCTGATGGTTACTCCCTTTGTGACCTTGGACAAATCACTTTGCTTGTCTAAGCTTCGGTTTCCTCGTAGAGATAACGAGGGGGGTTGACCAGATTACCTCTGAGGTCCCTTCTTAGATTTATCATCTAGGTCTGGGACCTCGGTCAAAAACCTAGACACTGCCTTTCCATGTAAAGCAGAGGGGCAGGTGGGAAGTGGGAGGAAGGGAGGACACCTTCCTAAAGAATGAGGCAGAGAAGAAAGCGTTTTTGGGTTGCTGTTTTGGTGGGGAAAGTTTACATTCGGAGGGAGAGGTAAGACATGAGGGAGAATCTAGTGATATGAGCTGAACCAGCTGAGTGAAACTTACGGTGGGTTGGGAGTTGTGGATTGAAACGGTGTTCTCATCTCTAATTATGCCTGCTTGGAAGAAGGATTCTCTTAGCTGTGAAGTAACTCCTTTTTCAGACAAGTAATTTGAGGCAGGATCTTGAAAGTCAGCATGAAGTAGTAGCTAGTGGTTGGACTTTGAAGTCCGAAATCAATCAGTCATTCATCAAGTGTTTATTAAGCACCTGCTGTGTGCCAAGTACTGTTTTAGGTGCTGGAAATATAGAGACAAAAATGAAAGAGTCCCTGCCCTCAGGGAGCTTACATTCTATCGATTTGTGTACACATAATACAAGAAAGAGATTTGGAGTCAGGAAGACCTGAATTCAAATGTGACTTCAGACACTTAATAGCTGTGTGATCCTGGGCATGTCCTTTAACGATTTTCTGCCTTGGTTTCTTCATCTGTCAAATGGGAATAATAATAGCTCCAACCCCCAAGGTTATTGTGAGGACCCAGTGTGCACTTAGCACAGCACCTGGCTCATAGTAGGTGCTGGCCAAATGTTTATTAAGCATATATAAATATATACAAAGTGAATACAAAAATATAAGTTAATTTTTGGACAGTGGAGAAAGGCATAGGAAGAACTGGGTTGAAATCCCTCTCTAACACATTTACTGTGTGTCCACAGGCAGGTCACTTGACCTCTCTGAACCTCAGTTGCCTCATCTTTAAGATTAGGATACTCTCTGTAGTATTTACCTCCCAGGATCATTGTGATGTTCCAACGTGATTATGACTAATTCCGTTTGTAAGCATTAAAGCCCTATATAAATGGTTATTATCATTTAATACTTTCAGAGTGAGGAGTCATTTTGGTAGGAGAAATCACTTGCCGGTCCCACAGAGTGTGACTTTATAAAATAGCAAGCCTGATTGAATGAATGAGTCTGGGCTCAGAGCAGCGCCCTTGAGAAATGGCATACTTATGGCGACTCCCCAAGAGGAGCCCTCACTGTGATTTGAGCAACAGCGGCACCATTGATCATTGGAATCAATGTGTCATCTGCCTAGGGAGGACTTCGTTGAAGGACAGCAGTCATTTGAGTATACAGGGTGGGGGGTGACAATTCAATTATTCATTTAAACTTACTATCAGTGTGCTGGGATAAAAAGACAAAAAATGAGTCAATCCCACCATCTGTCCCCCTCCCCCCAAGACTATATTCTTACACTTGACGCTCACGTGGTATGGTGGCAAGAAAGCAGGATTGGAGGCCAGAAGACTTCAGTTGAATTCCTAGCTATGACACTAGCTGTGTGAGCCTGGGCAAGTCACTTAACCTCCTCTTTTTCTCTTTCAGTAAAATGTGGAAAATAATGTTTGGGCTACCTAGCTCACAGGGCTGTTGTATGGAAGGTACTTTAGAATCCTTAAGGCAGTATGGAATTGTGGGCTATTGTTGTGAATTCTGCTTTGCTTATTAAATATCTGTGTGGATT